CCTGCCTCGGCCTCCCAGAGTGCTAGGATTACAGGCGTGAGCCACCGTGCCCGGCCCTTAATTTTCATTTATAGTAAAATCCACATACCCTTATGTCAGATTCCAAAGTCTTGTAAGATCCACTCTTATGTGTTCTCACAGCCTTTCTCCAATTTCCCACATTCAGGCCACCCCCGGTTGTCTTTAGCAGCTTGAAGACACCTAGTTGATTTTTCCGTCTGAACCAGTTGCTCTTCCCCTGATCTGCATATGCCTGGCATCTCATCACTCAGATCTCAGCTTAAATACTACCTCAGAGGAGGCCTAAACCCAATTTAAAGTGCCATCTGGTCACTCTTTTCACATCATTCTACTTACCGTTTTCTAGAATTTTTTTTTTTCTATGATGTTTCTCATTTGTTTATTCTTCTGTCTTGCCCTGCTATAATGTGTGCTTAATTAGAATAGAGGCCTTGTTTTAGTCACTTCTATTTCCCCAGTGCCTAGGACGCAGCCTGGCACATAACAGGTGTGGAAAAAATATTGATAGCATGAATGAGTGAGTGGAAGAGTAAATAGTTTCCTTTGACAATTATAAAAATTTCAGTCATCAAGATTGAATAAACTGAACTTAAAAATACACCAGAACTCCACTCTCCTGATCTTTCTTCTGTCTACCTCTTTTCAATTAGACTTCGTTAGTTGCTCTTGAAGCTTTACTTATGTCGCCATGCCTTACAGACTGACGATCCTGAGGCTTCTAGGCTTGAATCTCTTCACATTCTCAGCATTCTCCCTCTTATCTGTTCCCATGGTTTTAACCAACATGCCCTTTATGCTGACAGCTCTTAAATCATTAGCCTCCACCTCATACATTTCTTCTGAGCTCTAGACAATTACTTAACCAAATGCCTTTTGGATATCCCCATCCTGATATTCCATAGGAATGCTAACTCACCAAGACTGCACCTGTCATTTTCTACCTCTATGGCCAATTTCTCCCATTATATTTCTCTCACTAAAAGAGTATCAGTTTCTAAAATCATAAATCTCACTCCAAAGTCCAACTGCTTTTACAGCCTAAATATTTTTATATCTATCTTCTCATCCCCATTACCACCACCTCACTTTAATCCATGTTGGTCCCCTGGTCAATTGTGTTTTTTCAGAACTCAAATAGTATCATCCCTTCCCTCCCTAAAATCCTTAAGTACTACCCCATTACCTTTTACATTAAGAACCCTACTACTCTCTTATCATCACTTCACTGACACAAAGCTGATCTGTAATAAATGTTGAAAAAATTAAACAATCAGATAAAGAGACTCTTAAACTAAGAAATATAAAGCACAGAAGTACCTTGGGAACATTCATACATTATTCACTTACTAAATCCTACCTGTCCTTGAATATCAGGCTCCAATCCTGACTGTTTTGTGAAGCATTCCCATCCTTCAATTCTCAGTCCACTCCCGTGCCTCTAAATTTCTACAGGTTCTTACTATTTATACTAATTATCTTCAATCTTTGGTATATATCAGTCACCTGGGTGGCTGGTAAAAAAAAAAAAAAAATACAGATGCCCAGACTCTATCCTTGGAATCTCATTAAATAGCTATAGTTTAGGGGAAGTCTAAAGGTGATCAATCCCAACAGACAGAAAACTTTGATAACTGCTTGTTTTGTATTACTCAGAGTTCAAATGACATGCTTTCCCAGCATTGTTTCAATTTTTTCACGTCACATGGTATCCCAACTAGATTTATAGAGACTCTTATTTGTATAAATTACAGTTCTTACTAAACTCCTATGCACAGAATGAGCTGGAACTGTACTTGGTGGATCTGTTTTAAGGGATAAAAATGTAATATTAAAGGGAGCTGAATTTATTGCAAAATTCTTGAGTACTATTATGAAAACCTAATGTCCTACTTAAGGTATGATCAAGAAATGAAAGGTTGAACATTCTTTCCCCTTTTTACAGAGATGGAGTAACTAATGACTCAAAAAGATAACTGACAAATGGTCACACGAGTAGTAGCAGAGCCAGCAGTAGACTCCAGGTCTACAACTTCTTATTCTAGGGCTCTCTGTTATACCATATATTAGGGTTGCTGATAATGAGCATATCAAGAAGATAACTGCTGCTAGGGTCAAAAATACCAATAAACTATAGGGCTTCATTAATTGAAACGTTGAAAACAAAATTACTGTCTTATATACCTGGAATGTCCGGAATGGGGTCCCTAAAATGATTCAGAGAGTTTGCAAACTTGACTAGTTAAGAACACGGAGGTTCTGGTTCCTAGAAAATCAGATCTGCTGCACAGTATCTTCTCGTGGGAACTTTCTCAAAAAATAATGGAGCTCATTAGCCGCAGGCAGAAATCTTCTCTTCCCACACTACAAATCTAATTGAGAGAAATTATCCTGGAGTGGACAGGATGTTTAAGTTTGATTTAAACCTTTGGTTCCAGAGACTTCGGTTTTGTGTGAAGAGTTAAAGTAATCAAATAGAAGACAAAAGCACCTTACCTAATGATTTCAGCATATTCTTTGTCTTTTCCTTTACTGTCTCTCCATTTCCTGAACATAACTGAAGCATCCACATTGGCCGGGGAGAAGGTGTTGGGCTCATTAAGCAGTGATATTACACTTAATAGGATAGTCCTAGAAATAGGAAAGAGGGGTCAACTATTAATACCCATATTTGTAGTATTCAAAATTATTCTGCCTTTTTCATTTTCTTTTGTTTTTTTTGAGACAGGGTCTCATTCTGTTACCTGGGCTAGAATGCAATGGGGTTGTCATAGCTCACTGAAACCTCAAACTCCAGAGTTCAAGCGATCCTCCCACCTCAGCCTCCAAGAGGTGGGACTATAGGCGTGTGCCGCCATGCCCAGCACAAGTATTCTTTTCAACCCAGGTGCATCCCTAGAGTCCCAGCTACTCGGGAAGGTGAGACAGGAGGATCCCTTGAGCCCAGGGGTTTGAGGCCAGCCTGGGTGGCCGTATCTGTCACCATGTGGTGAGAGCCTGCTTAATAACAAAGTCAATATAGAATAAAGTAGAACTGAGATTTTTTTTTCCTGTCTGAAAAAAATACTCTAGATACAATTTATATGCAGTAGCCTAATCAGAATTTCCTAACCAGTATGTTATGAAAGGGTTACAGGTAAATTATATTATTGGTCTTCTCAGGCAGTTGGGTGGGTGGGAACTAGGACAGCCTGAGGCCCCTGGAACAGTAACTTCTAGCCAAAGAACCATCTTTAGTTTACCTTATTGTGATCTACAAATAGTCATATGCCCCATAACAACATTTCGGTTGATGGATTACGATGGTAGTTCCATAGGATCATTGTACTATATTTGTACTGTACCTTTTCTATGTTTAGATAAATACTTTCCATTGTGTTACATTTGCCTATGGTATTCCATACAGTAACATCCTGTACAGTTTTGTAGCCTAGGAACAACAGGCTATACCATATAACCTAGGTGTATAGTAGGCTGTACAATCTAGGTTTATATAAGTACATTCTAGGATGTTTGCATGACAAAATTGCCTAATGGTGCATTTCTCAGAAGGTATCTCCATCACTAAGTGATGCATGACTGTACCATCATTATCATTTTCTCCACATTCCATGACTGGAAAAGATCAGTAAGCAATGTCATACATAGTTTAAATTGTCTACCACTTCTACTAAAATAATATATCGAAGGCATTACACCTGTACCATGGTAAACAACTCTGCAAGGTAAGTATTATGAATCCTATTTTTATGGAATGGGAAAACTAAGCTGCTGAGAACACTGCTGGAACATACAAAACAATTTGAATATAAGAACTATTCCAACTGTTACCTTGTTTTTTGGTTGTCATTAACGTTTTTTTGTTTTTGTTTTTAGTGTTAAGTGTTTAAAATCCTTATTAATTTATTGTATTTTCTCAGGAGAAAAAAGGGAAGATAGGTTTAACTACAAGTGGAGGAAGGGAAGGAAAAACCCAATAATGAAACTATCAAATGATTATACCCCAACAATGGGGTCAATAAAGCCCTCTAAAGGGATTAGTTTTCTGCAGGTCAAGAAATAAGGGAAAAGAATCAGGAAAACATGAGACTCTTTATTATTCTTCTTCTGTCCATGTAACTTGGACAAGTTTCTGGGACTAGCACAACAGATGCTGAGGGGCCATCCCCAGACTTTTAGTTCCTATATAAAGAATAACTCCATTGCCCTTTTCTTCTCTAGGTTTTGAGGAACAGGTCTGGTCTATCCCAATCCAGTGGTTTTTATGTGTTTAATATTTACTACATACGTACTACAACAAAGAACAGGCCTAATCCAGGAAGAGTTTGGGATAAGAATGAGGGATAAGAGGCCAGGCGAGGTGGCTCACGCCTGTAATCCTAGCACTCTGGGATGCCGAGGCGGGCGGATTGTTTTGAGCTCAGGAGTTCGAGACCAGCCTTAGCAAGAGCGAGACCCCATCTCTACTAAAAAAATAGAAAGAAATTATCTGGACAACTAAAAATATATAGAAAAAATTAGCCGGGCATGATGGCGCATGCCTGTAGTCCCAGCTACTCGGGAGGCTGAGGCAGGAGGATTGCTTGATTCCAGGAGTTTGAGGTTGCTGTGAGCTAGGCTGACGCCACGGGCACTCTAGCCCGGACTAAAACAGTGAGACTCTTTCTCAAAAAAAAAAAAAAAAGAAAAAGAAAATGAAGACCAAGACATCATTCATATCTGTCTATATATATAGACTAGCAAACGGAAAACCAGCAAGTTCTGAAGTTCTATGGAATTCAGACATGTTTAAGAAACAAAACCAAATTAAAGTAGTATTTAAAGGAGATCAGAAAGCAGAATTGGTGGGTGGGAGTGGTTAAAAAAAAAAAGAAGAAGAAAGCAGGATTAGACATATATAACTCAATGGGTAATACAATTATTTGCCAATTTTCAACATACAGACAACCCTTTGCCTGTTTCTGGAAACTTTAGCAGGACAGAACCGGCCTCAGCACCACAAACAAGGCCTAGTTCAAGGGTCTGCCTGGAAACCAAGAAAAGTTCAGAATTTTGAATGATTAAATACTGGCATCTCCCCCTCCCCTTGTTGAATACATCTCTCTAATCAGCATGTGAAAGGTAGAAAGGGCTCATTCTAAAAAACCTAAGCTTACCTTACTCTTAAAACACACACACACACACACACACACACACACACACACACACACACACGCACGGAGACAATGGATAGACGTGTAACACTAGAAAATGAACCAGTCATCATTATGTGTTTCTTGTTGTGAAGGAGGGATTTAAAGAGGACGTCACAGCAAAGAAGCCTGTTATGACTGGGATAAAGGGCCAACAAATGGTAAAATATAGTAGCTTAACGGGTTCATTCACATACAGTTTTTCTTCTAACAAATATAACACTGCCTTCTGTGCAGTGCTGAAACTGCTGCTGACTGGTATATCCCTGAGAATGCAAGGTAGGAGTGAGGGTCTCAGATGAAAATGCACAAGAAAACAAAATGAGAACATATTAGCTTAAAAAGTAGGAATTTTAAATACACAAATATATATATCATTTGTACAGAATGAAACTGGTAGGTTGAGGGCACTGTGACCCAGTGTGCAGAAATCAAAGGAGCAAATAAATAAAACCATACTAGCCCAGAATGGGGTTTAAAAGAGCCCTAGGAATAGCAGGGCTGCAGCTATTCCCCCTGATCTTGCCTACTTTGCCACCCAATGCTAGGGGCAATGTCCTTGACTCTCTCTGCCCTTTCAATGGATTATGGAGATACTAGGCAGGAAAATACCTTCCCCTACTCATGAGAAGAGACCCTTCATACTAAACAATAGCCTCTTTGGATTGGGTTCATCAGTTTGGGCCCCTCCTGTATCTTTTTAGAGTGGCAAAGAAAACACTACGTATTAAGGTTTCAACATGAAGCAAATCCCCACCCAAACCACCTTCCTACTTCAGAGCCTACAGCAGGTATGACGGGTACTTCTGGGGATAGTATGTAACTCAGAGAAAGCAGTTACGAACTCTACAGCAAGGTCTGTAGCAAAGGAGGGACACTCTTGTCCCCCCAGCCCCTGCCAAAAGCTCTCACTTGGATCTGGACAGAGCACGGATCACGATACATCCACCAGGAAGAGGCATCCACCAGTTACATCCTAATCAAAGACCTGTGGCAGCATCAGGCCTCTACCCTCCCAACTCGACCCTTTTGCCAATATAGCCCACTCCGTAAAATTTGCCAAATCTGTAAAAAACCCTCACACCACCACTACCCCCAGCTCCATGAACTTAATCCTGGGCCTCTGGGAATAGGAGGCCTGTGGATCTCTTCTTCCAAAAGAAGTATGCTGGCTTCCCCTAAGAGGTAGCAAACTACTGGGACTTTAGTGGACACTAGTTGGCTGATGCTCTGGATTCCTACAATTCTAGTGTGTTTTTCTTGCTTTTCCTTTTGGGCTCTTACTACTCACCAGATATTATGATACAGATAGGATCAAGGTCTTAAAAGTAACTCGAGTCCTTCATTCTTCTTTAGGTCACAAAAGCCCTCCATGTGCTACTTTATTTTATGAATATGTCCACTGAGGTACTAAACAATGGACTTGAGTACAGCTAGCCATGAAGTTGTCCAAACACACGTGAATATGGAACTGCTTTCAGATACTAGTGCCATGCAGCAGCCAAAATTCCACAACAAGAGGAGATGACCCCTAATGCCACCTCCACTGATGTTTTCCTATAGTCATCCATAAATTGGATGTGGAGCCCAGAACCCTTAGACAGTGGCTGACCCTAGAGAATTTAGCAACAAAGGAGCAAAAGAGAAAAGGTTGCCCATCTTTACTACATCTTGTATCTTGTGTCTTAATATTTCCCTGCCATAACCGTGACCTGTGAGAAAATACAATTTACTACTTAAAAACCCCCTTGCCCTTGCCTCAGGACAAATAACACAGAAACAAAAGGGATAAGGAAAAGTAATCCACATTTACTCATTAGGTAGTGCTTTCCTGAGTTCTGAGCACCACTAGGTATTCGAAGCAGATGAAGTTTAGCATACAAAACACCCTACTGCCCCTGGAAACACTAAAAGATTGCCACATTGAAGGAATATCCAAAGATTACATAGAACTAAAAGATAAAAAATACAACAGTGAATGATTTCAAATGCAAACACACTGTAAAGCTGTGTATGAATATCTTTGGTGCAATTCAAAGATAACTAGTTGTGGTTTTGAAGCCTCTAAACAAAGAAGTACAAAAGCAGGGAAAGCAATTCTGATTTTGAGTTTGGGGAATGTCCCTAAATCAGGGATTAGGTGGCCTGGGGACCCAGAGTGAGAAAAAATGATTCAGGTACCCAAAGTGCCAAAGGCAGTTTCAGCTGGGCAGATAAGTTATGAAAAGAATCCTCTGCCTCAAAGGATTGGGTTAAATGAGAAGTAGGGTTATTTTATTTTTTTGTTTTTTGAGGCAGGGGTCTCACTCTGTTGCCCGGGATAGAGTACAGTGGTATGATCATAGCTCACTGCAACCCCCACACTCTTTGGCTCAACCGATCCTCCTGAGTAGGCCTATCTTAAAAACAAAAATGTTCGTAATATTTTAAGCTGAAGTAAGGCAAATGATACAGTCTGTGTGTATTTAATGTAAGAGAAGTAAAGGATAAAAATCTTAAATTCCCATGGGTAGTGACAATAGATTATTTAGCCAGGTAGCACAAGAACGCAATGAGAAAAATCTTGTCTGAGGCTTTGTATGTGAGGAAAGAGGAAGCTTGTTTTCTCAAAGAGAGAGTGTAAGCATTTGATTTAACATTCAACCAGAATTGCCAGTATCTTAGAGCTACCACTTCCTCTATTCTAGGGTTACTACTAGTCCTGAAAAACAAGTACCGATATCATACTAATAGGACAACCTGGCATTTTTTTGGTCCAATTTTTCAACAAATCTTCCAAAACACTTCTTTAGAACCTTTCATATACATTGTCTAATTATTTTGTCAAAATAATGTGATATAATTATTTCTTAGGCATGGCAGCCTCAAACACGTCCTTTATAAAGTGGAATAAATAAAACTCAGAGTTTTTAATACTTATTATTAATATAAACCAGTTCTTAGTCTATTAAGATAGTTCATAAATGCACCATTTGCTACATATGACACTTTCCCTCTAAAAAAAGTCCATTCCAAATTATAAAATATTTAAAACAAAAATGGTCAAAACAATTATTTATTTTCATGTATTTAGCAACCAAGATAAATTCTGTGCTACTTAAAATAAACTGGTTATGATATAGGCACCTAGCAATTACGTCTCCCTGCAGCCAAATGAAATAAACATGAGGAACTAAAAATTAGATTCCTTTGCTAATAGCAAATGATTACTTCACATTTGACAAAAAAAAAAAAAAAAAAATTCCATAAAAATATTTGATAATGGCAGTGACCCAATCAACAAGGTAATATGTATTATTTTAGTGGCTGTACATGCATTATTCATTTAATTCTTCCAACAACCAACTGAGGAATTATCCTTGTTTACACTACTAATAAAACCTAATGTCTTAAATTTTAAAAATATAAAGCTTTGACGTACCCAAATTACCTAGAAAGTTTATCTCTTACTTCAGCAAAAACTCTATCCTGATTTCCTCATTAGGAAAAAAAATTAAAATCATGTAAGAATCTAGGATAAAAAAATAAGATGTAAAAGAAATGCTAAAAACAATATTCAGACAAGTGGAACATTATTATAATATGTACTTTACTGGGACCCAAAATAACAAATAAGTATGAAACTGAGGTCTTCAAAAATAATCTAGAACAGGGGTCATTAATTATAGCATAAGATTAACTTTCATGCCTCATCCAGAAATCTGTTAATACCAAAAAAAAAAAAAAAAAAAAGAAAAAGAAAAGAAATCTGTTAACATAGCACAGATAGAATATAGTTAACCTTAAATTCCTTTTCTTCTTTTTTTTTTGAGATTGAGTCTCACTCTGTCACCCCAGGTAGAATGCAGTGGCATTATCATAGCTCACTGCAACCTCAGACTCCTGGGCTCAAGAAATCCTCCAGCCTCAGCCTCCCAGAGTGCTAGGATTACAAGCGTGAGCCACAATGCCCAGCCGTAAACTTAAATTCCTTTAAATAAATTCAGCTCATAAAAGAGAAGCCAAGTCTAAAACTTCAAAATTGCTTTAATGCCATTCAGAGAAATAATGAAAAATACTATAAAATTCCTCAATCATTTATATTTATAGGACTATAGGACTATACCAGACTTGAGAAACCTAGACCATGATAAGGCAAAATCCTGGCTATACACATTATGTTGCTAAATATCTGAACAGACCAATCCAAGCTACAGAGAAAGGTAAAGGAGAAATGAAGTTTAGGATTTTCTTAGGGAGTCTACAAATGAACAAAGCACTGAGAAATGCCTAAACCCAAACCACAGAACACAAAGTACTACAACAAATGAACCAAAAATTGAGTTGGAGAAATTGAACATTAATAAAAACAGGGGAAGAAGGAGACAACGCGGTGGAATGAAATCTTATCTACCCTCTTCCTGCTAGACAAAGAGAAGCAGAATTTTGATTTTTTTTTTTTTTTTTTTTTGACAAAGGGTCTTGCTCT